TCTGCCAACAGAAATTTGCAGCCATATGTTTAAAAAGCAGCTGTTCAAAACGCACAAGGAAAAAGTTGGCAAATTTATTTTAATTCGTTTTATTAAAACAAAACGAGTGCATCGTTATCAAAACACATTGAAATATTGCAGAATGTAAGTATTTGTACATACATTTGAATATGTGTCTGTGTATATATACAGTACTTGCAAATTTCTGCTAATTTTCGTTTCTTTACTTTGTCCTCTTTCGATCTCTTTGCGAGGAAAATTATACTCTTTGCCAATCTGCTGTCTTATATTGTATTGGCAAGTCTTTTTAAGCATTGTTATTACATTTTCGACTATTATAGATTGTTTGTTGTACAATAAAGTTAATTGAACTATAATTTGGACATCTTTAGTGTTTGTTTAACAATCCAGCGATACGAATCAAATGGATTTTGGGAAGTACGTCAATTATACAAAGATAATCGTAAAGCTGCCTTTACATGAGGCGATTTTCCAGGCGATTCAATATTGCTCTGAAAAAACTCTCATGTAAATAGTGATTCTAAAATCGCTTGCCTCAAAGCAGACAGCAAGTCAACTTTTGCAGGCGATTATCGCCTGTCCAAAATTGCCTCATGTAAAGGCAACTAAAATTATAAATTTCTACACTCGAAATAGATGTGTATAGTAATTTTTCCAGTAAAAAATTGCAGCGAGGGAGTAAAAGCAAAATAGAGCGTAAAATTGAGAAGAAGAGAAAACTAGCAGAAAAAGTTATTGAACGCAAAACTAGTAAAAAACTTGCAAGTGAACAGTGTTGCACAGTTTTGACATACTAGTTGTAAACGTTATACAATTTATAAAACAATTTTAAACTCTTTTCTTATACACAAGCACTTATACAGTCCAGTACATCAATAATAGGTTCTTTCCCTAAAAATCCGGACCGGATCCGGTAATTAGAGAATAAGCGAAAAGTTTGCTCTCAAAAGTGGAACATAGTCCAGAAGTACGGGAACGCAAAAAAACACATTTCGTGTCCAGAATTTGAGAAACAGCTGATTCACGTTGTTTTAATTTTTATTTCAAAAATTTGATTTTAAGTATACAAAAATCGAAAATACATTAACAGGCCATTCACTATTCCTTAAAAGCACCATGTAAATGCAGGCAACATTTAAACACAAAATAGCTGATATGCACTTTGACACTTTGTCCATTCTTAAGGCCTGTCTGCAGTTCTCAAGAAAAGCTAAAATTCCATACAAAATGACGTACAAGGGTCTTAAGTTCTTAAGTCAAATTTCCTTTAGGCAGTACGCAGTTCTTAAGAAATTTGCTACACTTTTTACTACGGTTTCCTAACGTTTTTTTGTGAAAAAAGGGCACAAGCCAACCCAGGTTTGCAACAGAAATATATGCCCGTTCCATTATTTCTTGAGGAAAGAGTGAGGCAACAGGCTGTGAAGTATCAAAAAAGTCAAAATTCCTTTGACACACACACACGAAATAATGCCAAATTTTTCTTGACCGATTTCTTGAGAGCTGCATACCAGCCTTTAGGCCTGTATGCAGCTCTCAAGAAAAGCAAAAACTCCATATAAAATGACGTACAAGAAATGGCTAAGAAATTTTCTTGAGTCAAATTTCCTTAAGGCAGTACGCAATTCTTAAGAAATATACTACGCTTTCTACTACGGTTTTCTAAAGTTTTTTGTGAAAAAAGAGCACAAGGCAACCCAGGTTTGCAACAGAAATATATGCCCGTTGCATTATTTCTTCAGGAAAGAGTGAGGCAACAGGCTGTGTAGTATCAAAAATGTAAAAATTCTTGGACACACACGCGAAATAATTGGGGTGTTCACAGTTCGTTCCAAATTGTGTCTGAAAATGTAGACGTCTACATTTTGAGACACTTTTAGCATCAAACTGTGAGCACCCCTTTCTAGCAGTCGTCGCAAAATCGTCTCAAAACTTTGCTGGTGTTGCCAGACATTTCTTGTTTGCGTGCATTGTTTATATGTCGCCTTTCGATTTTGTTTCTGAAAAATTGTAATTATTTAACTTAATTACCAATTCGTTATATTTGTTATTCCTTTTCCTTGATTTGTTTCTTTTCATCAAAAATTGCGCTCAAATTAAATGCAAATACGGAAAACGTGCCCAATAAATAAAAAAATGTGATTGGTATTGCCATAATGCAACCCTGCTGCGAGGTTGCAAAATGTAGACGCGTAAAAAACATACCTTTGAGTGTGACAAAATGTAGACGGCGTCGTTTTCCAATTTTGTATGGGAAACAACAACACCACAGATTTTACGGTTAGAAAACGTCTTAAAATGTAGACGTCTACATTTTGAGACACTATTTGGAACGAACTGTGAACACCCCAAATGGCAATTTTTTCTTGAGCATTTTCTTGAGAGCTGCATACAGGGCTTTTACCAGGAGAAAAAGTCCTGGCTGTTTCTGGCAGGAAGAAGAAGACACTTACGATCCAATACGTTCCAATGATTTCTGGGTTGTTTTGGGCACCCGTGGGATCCCTCGTTGCGTACGGGAAAGAACCTAATATTTTAATTTTTAATTTATGTATATATTTTAATGTCCACTCATATGTCATATGCTTACGATCAACCAATTCAACATATGTCGGCTTTTGACATTTATTCTTGTTCTTCTTCCGCTCTTCTTCTCCTAGCTATTTTCTATAAGTAAAACTTGCACTAGCAAGAATATGTAACTCTTCCGTGTTATTACACTCTCGATTCAGTGCTCTCTTGCAAAATTTTTTGGTTATTATACACTTTTCCAGTAAAAATTGGCAAGTTCCATCACAATCTAGTACTAACTATTTGATACTATACACACCCATGAACCAATTAGAACAGAGCTGCCGGTTGAGAAGCAGCCATTTGTAATAGCAATTGAGAAAAGTGTGTGACATTCGTAATTTTTAAGCTTGCTATTTCTGTTTTGCTTCTTTCTTTATGTGTATTTTGTCGGTGGTTTATTTCAGTGATTTTTAAGTGATTTTCAATAATTTGTTGTGCAAATGTAATTAAAATGACCGCAGAACTCCACAAGCAAACACCGATGACCTAACAACTGTCATTTTGAGGAGCAATATGATTGCAAGTTTTTGTGTGTGGACACTTGGATGTCTTGAAATAAGCATTTGCCGCATGACGCCAACAGACAACATTTTCTCAATTTCGGTGTTAAAAAACATTCAAATCTTTAAAAAACTTGCTGAATAATTTCCTAAAACGTATCATAAATAATCCAATAGGGAA